CTACTTTCTATTCTCCTGTTTTATCTTCTTATTACGGTGGTGAAAGAGCACACTATGGTACGGTTGTGCATTGGTGGAAGTCAAAATCTATATTTGGAAAGAGAAAACAATCTTGGTGAATGTGTTGTAAAGCAGGAATTGGGAATGCTAACAAATGGATGCGGCTGTCACAAAGAAATATACATTGGTAGGAGATCTGTTGTATATCAACTGACACATTCAATTAGCACAGCTTACCATTGCCAAAGTATAAAAACAGTGACCTTAATGGATTTCTTGATCCAGTTCTGATAACTGTCCCACACAGTTGATTTTCAAGATATTTTCTCTATATTATCTGTAAGTTGATGTAATCTGTAGCTGGACAGAAAAGCCCTTTAGAACTGAAGCCGAAACTTTTTCTAGTTTTGGAAAGAGTACGGGAGGGTTATAACCCCGACCATTGGTTAGAATTCACTTCCCTTCCCTTCCTGCCTGATAGCCACAACAGTAATTGAGAGAAAATCCCTCCAAATAAATGTAAATCCCTAGTGGTTAGTAGGATCAGCAGAATAAGTGTCCTCTTTGGAAGATTTCCCATCTATTCTTGTTCTGATGACAACCCAAATTTCAGAATTACCAGGACAAATAGAGGGGGTCAATCACCTTAACAGGGACACAGACAGCAATAAAAACATAACTGATGGTCCAATCCCTCTCCACTGTATCTAAAAATGAAATAAAAAGTTTGTACTTTACGTATGTGTTTTCTTCCAACTATTCCTTTGCAGAGGCTGAAATTAGCAAAATATCTTTTAAAACTAGCAGTAGAACTTTAAATCATTAAATCATAAAAAAATTAAAATCTAAATACATCTGTAAAATGACTCAGACAACTTTCAGAGAAACAGGTTTTAATGGTGTGCTAGTCCCTGTTCACACCATTGCGCATCATGAATGTGCGTCAAACATGTACAAAATGTGCACATTTTGATGCACGTTCAAGAAATGCAGAATGTGCTTGTGAGAACGTGCATGAAAACGCAGGCAAATACTTTGAACACATGTTGTAAAATTTGTGACTACTTTCCCACATTTGGTTCGCATCCGGGGGAACCATTGAAATCAACATGGATGCACAGCAAAAGCAGGAAACAAATGTGCGTGAATGTGCGTCACCGCAGTGTGCGTTCCAGCAATGCTATGATCTGAATGGGGGTACACAACTTGTAAATGTGGAAGAAGTGCACATATTGTACATAAAAGACTATGATGATGCCTAAACAATATAGCAATGCACATAGTATAAGATCGAAAACATAGTTCAATAACATTTACAGAAGAAAGAAAGGACATAGATGATTGCATTAGTGCTACCACTATGAGATTCTAACATAATTACTGCCCGCATATAATTTACTGTTTGACAAAAATATAACTGTAGTTCCAATTATGACTTACAAAATGGAATTATGTCATTAAAGTCAAGGACACACTGAAGTAACTCTTTCCTAATGCCAGGAAACGTCCTTTTACTGCTCTCTTCTTCACTACTGCACGAGTTTGATTTAGTAAAGAAGAAATAATCACTCTAAGTTAAAAGGCAACTGAAGCCAAAACCTTTCTTCAGCTTTGGATAGAGTGGAGAGAACATCTGTCAGGTTTGTATTGCTGCCTGTGTCCCTGTTAGGGAGATTCACTCTCCCTATTTGTCCTGCTAACCTAAAGTGAAAGAAAACACACATTTCTAGTGGAATAGATGGGAAATAGGGGCACTCGTTCTGGTGACCCTGCTTACCACCAGGGATTTCCCTCTCTTTGGAGGGATTTCTTCTCACTTCCTGTTGTGACTATTGGACAGGAAGTGAAGGTAAATCTCCCCAATTAGACATAGATGATAAGAGAACGTTCCCTTATTCTATTCAAAACATAAAAAAATAGGTTTTGCTTTCAGAGATACATTAGGTCTTCCCTGTTAATCATCTATAAGGGTATTTTAAAAACTAGGAAATCTGCACATTAATGAGTTAAATGTTTTAAAGTGTACACAGGTTCTCTTCACTGTGAACATGACCCCTTTATTAAACTGCACCCTACATGACATGGCCTTATAGCAAACCAAATGTAGTCATGTGCCTGCAGCAGCTTCGGCTAAAACCTCACCATCAGATACTGGATATTTTGTAATGATTTTCAGCTCAAATATTTACATGTCACGACTTTCTGTGTCCACTAAAAAAAACAATTATTATAGCCAGCATGTTTACTTTCTTCATCTTTCCTTTCCATTATCATCAAAATGCAAAGCAACATACATTCAAAGAGGCCAAAGGACACCAAAAAAAGGTAAAAATGACTCACATGAAACCAAAGATGAGGACTAGGACAAAGGGTTGGTGTAAGAGTGCCAAAAGAACATTATGAATGCATCTGAGAGAGATTGCCTTTATGATTTTTTTAAAATAATGTACATAAGCTGTAAATCATAAACAGAAAACAGTCTTTGCCCAAGGCATGACTACAGTTCTTATTGCATATTGCGTGACATTATTTTTCCTTATTTTTATTCCTTTCACCATTCTCAGGCTCTTTCTAGGGCAGTGCGCGAATAATGGTAACACTGGAAAATGCAGTAATACAAAACAACCAATTAGATGTTATCTTTTATCAGTTAAGAACAATGAAATCATTTGAACTATGATTGCTCACTGGCCAGCTAAGGTTACTGCTCTATGAATAAGGTTTTATGTTGCACGTGACTTTTTCAAGTTCATGCATGCATTGTTAATGAGCTGTTTATTGTTTACTGGAGGCAAAACGCAGTTGTATTCCCATGCACAGCGATGACTAGAGCAGTGTTTCCCATAGAGAGGCGTGTGTAGTATGTGTCTTGCTTCTATATATTTTGAAATCTCATTTTACACTTTTATTCTGAAGTCTTTATCGTATGTAAATCATTCTGAACTACTACAGTCAGCAAAGAGATTCTTAGACAAAAGAACCTACAGGTGCATTTTCACAAGTTGTATTGTACTGTTGTAAGTAACCATTTTAGTATATGTTCCATCTCTTTATTATTGTAGCTCATTTAAAATTGAAGCACACACACCTCTATTGCTGCACAGATATCCATACAAGCCTAAACTACCTTTCAGTAACTTGTTTTTGCAATGTAATACACAATAAGTAACAACATTGTTACATGGAAGCACTTGTTACTGTAACATTTCCTCCAGAGTATTACAATTAAGATACAAACATATTCACTAGTCAGCATTAGCTAAACCAAGAAACAGACCAAGCATCGCCTCCATCCTAAAAGTTACAAAAGTTCAACAACCATAACTTACAGTGAAACATATCTGCATATAGAAGAGTTAAACACTGTTTAAAACCATTTAGAAACTTGTGTGTAAGGTTCCAACTCTTGATTACTATACCCCATGTACTTAATACCTTTCATGTGTTTACTTATTATAGTGGGAATAATTACAGAGCCCCTGAAATTATCCCTCACTTCCCAGATAATAAAAAGCTGGATTTTACTCCATGAGGCATATTCAAGTACACTCACTGCTCTTTCAGCACCGTGGACAGTGCAGAGCAGCAAGCAATCCAAGTACACTGCCTGAACTTCCATCAGCACCCAGGACTGAATGCACTGAGTGGATGGGCAATTACACAAGAAATTACTAAATAGCAATAACCCACAGTAAATGTTTCATGGGTAAGACATGACAAGTGCAGATGTGAGACCTAATTATATTGCATTGTGAAATAATATAGGAAATAGAAATAATACCTTAATAGAAAAGGAGAGAAAATATCCACAAATGCAATATGTCACTTATAATTATATATACACAGGCTAATAAAGCAGCACATAGAGTAGCTACACTCCTCCAGAGACAGGCCTGTCTGATGAAGCACTGATATGTGCCTATAATTACAATGAGGCTTGATAGCACATTCTGGTAAGCAGGCCTTCCGCCTGTGCATTCTAGATCATCCGTGTGACACATGCATCCACAGGAGTGCATGCTTCTGTTTACTCATGGACACACATAAGCACACTCTTTAGAAAACCCAGATGTCGCAATCAATACAAGAATATTGTACACAATCTGCGCCTCTGCATTGCAAAATGCCAACTTGATACCTTTATATAAAAGCACCAACTACCTTAGGCATCTTAAAAGGCAGCATGAACAATTCAAATGATCTGTTTATCAGCAATGCCGCAGAGTCATTTCATACAAAGGGCAAGAAAATCAAAGCTTTTTAAAATTCTGCAACAGCCTTTTCTTTGCACAAGCTCTGAACTGTAAATCCACAGAGCATCAGATCCATAGAGTTCAAGACCTATTGTGACAGCCCATGTATTGCAGGATTGAGTAGCACTGCAAACCCAGCACTCATGAAGTCCCTGTGTTTAATAATAATCATAGACTCTCTAAAGCCCTTCACAGTGAAGGCACAGAAGGAGAACACAATCAATGCAGGCAGACCGCAGCACAATCTCTGGTGCAACCAAAGTCCTAAACAGCCAGTGCCTATCTTTTCAGATAACAAGCATACCACCTGTAATGTCTTTCATATCTCCAATCCACAACCTGCAATGCCAAGCACAAACTGCACTTTGCCCTCTGAGTGCACCAATGCATCAGAATCAATTCATGGCAATCCATTGTGGAAGATCCAACAAAATGGCATTTGATGGAACCAAAAGGCAAGCTACAGTAGATTCTATGTGCAAAAAAATCATGAAAGCAATTGACAGTACAGAGCTGGCAAACATCTGGCGTTGAGTTGAGGCCAAAGTCAAGCCTTACAATCACATGGCATTGCCTAGTAGTAGGCAGCACATCCATATGGCACAGCAGCCTGTCATGCACAGTTAGACCTCATTACTTTCTCAAGTGATAGGTCCCTGCTGAACATGATCAAAGCAGAGCCAACTTGAAGGTCCAAGGCCAAGCTGGAGCCACCTAGGAAGTAAGGAGAAGAAGCCAGTGTCCTACCTTGCAGTCTTCAGAGCAGGATTTGACCGAATACTCCTCCGATTGTAAATATTTCTGTAGCACAATGTCAAATTCTTGGTATTTCTCCTGAGCGTGCTGGTCGTAGCCTTTGTAAGCCAAGACGCATTGCCTGCAACCAGCTACATCCCCATTCTCCACCAGGTCCCCACTACAGTTCAACGTGTCCGGATTGGGGAAGCCAGAAAACAAATCCCAAAGTGTGTAGGAATTACAAAAGGGTAGGTACAAATGACTCAAGTTGTAGTGAGTGGCTCCATCACCCCATGCCCATGCCTCACTCAAGTTCCTACAGACCGACTCAGCGTCGTCCACCTGCAGACACTGGCCAGATGGACTATGTGGGGGGCAGGCTGTTGGCCGCCACCGAGGTTTGGTAGAATTTCCTAGAAAAATAGCTTTTTTGCCTTGGCTAAGGCTCTTTTGAGATGATGGAATGGTAGGTGAGAGGGAAGGTCCTTCCGCTGATGGGAATTGATCAGCCATGCTAGGTGACACGAAGGTGCCCTGCTCTTTGTCTCTGGTCCTTGTCAATTTCGCCTCGGCGCAGAACCACAAATGATCAGAGAGCAGGACTGTGAAAAACAAGAGGGATGCTAAAGACAGTCGCCATTTCTGAGCCCTCTCGGAATCCGTGAAAGGTTTCTCGTTCTCCCGGGGTGCGAAGCAGATTCTGAAGCTGTCATCAAACTGCCGACACATCCAAGCACCCCTGGTCATATTTTGGGAAGGCGCTGCCCTGGCCGACTCCACCGTGACGGCTCCTTTGCCAGTGTGACCACAATATTCATTGACTTGAGGGTTGATTGGCTTTCGTTGGCTTTGCCTTCAGCTCCCTTTAGCGCCTTGGACGGCGTTTGGTGGGACTCGTCTTCAGTGCCGTTGATCAGCTAGATCCATCCAATTAGAGGGAATGGAGAGAGGAAGGCAGGCATGGTCACATCGCGCTTCTCCATCGCGCACAAACGCACAAAAGCGGCTTGCCGCTGACTGCATGCCTGTTGTCCGTGCTGGGAGCTCTGCCGTGCCGCACAGCGCTCTCATCAGCCCTTCCTTCCTTCCGTCCTTCCTTCCTTCCTCCTACTGACGACTGCAGCACAGCACGCTGGGCTTTGCTGCTGCTGCTGCTCGCTTCAGCCGGGCGTCTTTTCCTTGGCCAGCTGGGCGGAATACCCTGGGTTTTGCCTCCTGATGGCCACAGTCATCTTGGTCCTGCGCTAAGTTGCCGCCATCTTCGTCCTGAAACACTTTTTGGGGGGAGCTCGCTCTTCTGCGTCATCCCCGGCACCAAGATCTCTCTATCCTGGCGCATTGGCAGCGCTGGGCTGGAGGGAGAAGCTAGAGAGAGAGAGAGAAAGGGAGAGGGAGAGGGGAGCTGAGGAGGTGGAGGCAGCACAGAAATCACTCAGCCAGCCGCCGCATCAACTTGCTGGGATTCGGCTATTCCAGATCCTACATGGGGCTGCAGGATGACCGGCTCATTGACGCAAGTCTATACTAGAAGTTTGCGTGCGTCTCCCGGGAGCGCTGCCCTGCACTAACGCCTGGAGGATGTGCCAGTAAACACGGCTGGAAATGCGGCTTGCATCGCCTCCAACATACATATACATTATGGGGGGTGGTTAGGGGCAACCTGGACATCAGCTGCTGACTTGACCACAACATTTGGTCTTATTAATGATTCATTGTGTTACATCTCAGCTTTCCCTTTCATGCAAGTTGTCCAAAGACTTCCGCAGCATCTGCTGCAGTACTCCAATTCTCTACTGCCCCATAGTGTTCCATCAACAGGAGAAAAAAAAAAAAGAAGCCAGCAATACTACTCCACACAAGCAACAGTTCTCTCCCCATGGGCTGTGTGGGCTGATGTCATGCCTGAGCCTTACTGCTGCTACAATGGGTCCTTGTTGCCATGATGAGCTCTTATTATGTGTTTTGTCTTTTAGTTTTCATGATCAGGCTCCTTCCTTTGAAGAGAGCAGCAGGAGTGCCGATTGACTTCTTTCTGCTGTGACGCTATTGATGAAGGAGATTAGTGGTGGAGTGACAGAGCTGGGAAGGGGGGGAGAATTAGAGGAAAACCCCTCTCCCAGCTTGTCGCATTCCACTACTGACTGCTGCTACTGCCTGGCTCTACAATGCACATTCTTCTCCCAAGTGCTGAGCTGGAGCTGTCATTAGTCTCTGATTACTATGCTTTACATGAATGGAGGATTTCTCCTGCACCACTGACACGCATGTCAATGAGCCCGTCCTCACTTTACAGCTGCACTCCATGCATGGCACAAGCTTCATATGCTGCAGACACATCAATACACCATCCCCACATTACAATCCCTGGAGTGACCTTATCCAACTCCCAGCTGTCATGAGAGGTGAGCTGAAGACAGGGAAATACCTCCAAATAAAACAGGTTATATGCACTTGCTATATACAGTATATATGTATATTTCATGAGAGGTGAGCTGAAGACAGGGGAATACCTTCAGATAAGATTATACTTGCTACTGTATATACAGTATATGCAAATATTCATGAGAGGTGAGCTGAAGACAGGGAAATACCTACAAATAAAACAGGTTATATGCACTTGCTATATGTGTTTTTGCTTTTTATTATACTTACATTTTTTCAAAGTCTTTAGGTTGGTCACATGATGTACAGGGTCCTCTTCAGATCTTCTCCCTGTAATGGGTGACCTTCAGTGATGCAGAGAGCGGGGCTGACATGATGGTGTTGTTATACTGTGAATACAGAGTGCTGTCTTGACATCCCCTTAGGTGGCAGGTCTATTACACCCTGCAAGTCACAATATGTCATTGGTCTTGTAGGATAAACAATGGGCATTATTCAACCTAGAAGACTGAGGACATCGTCTGGTGAAGAAGTACTGCGGGGAACAGCTCTGGAAATGAAGTGAGTATTGCAACCCGAGCTATTTTTTTATTTGAAACAAAGAATTGGGCACCTTAAAAAAAGGTTTGGAGTTGGCATTTAACTGCGTGAGGCAGCAAAAGGAAGATCTTCATGTGTAAGGGCCTTGATCTTATTGTAAGCATGCTATACAGAATAATTTGAATCTTTATATTTTTAAACTCAAATAATGTTTCCACTAAGGTGTGTTTGTTGCAAGCACAGGCAAAGAATGTAATGCACGCAAAACTGTGTCATCCTTCCCAGTGATTTGCAAAGTAATGTGTTTGCTTACATGTCATTTGCAAATGTGCTACCTTTGGTCAGACTTAAGCACTTACACTGTAATTTATCTGTAATGCTAGAATACACTCAAAGTAGCTTTATCACACAACAAGCCACAAGCTGCATACAGTCCTTTTTGCTATCTCCAGAGGTTATTCACATAGTCATGGGGGGAAATGCAGGATAAGAAGCCTATTTGCAAACAGTCAGCACATGCTTCAGCTTCATTACATTTTTGTCTTGTGTGGTCACAATGGGCTGTATGTAGCATTTGCAGGCAGGGCCGGTGCTAGCATTTTTGCCAACACAGGCAAAGTTGAATTTGTGCCCCTCCCACCGGACCAGCGCTGACTCGCCGCTGCTCTCCCGCACCGAAGTGAAGAAAAAAAAAACATAGCGCAAGCATCGGGGCATTTTAACAAGTACAAGTACTTGTCAAAATGCCCTGTTTTTTCCACCCTCACCCTGCAGCGCCCTCAGACGGCCGCCTGACTTGCCTTGCGGTAGCGCCCGGGCCTGTTTGCAGTTAGTACAAGGGTCAAAACCCCTATCTTTGAGATGTGGTTGATTTGCTGTGAGATCACTGAAGCTCGACGAGGTAAAGCAGTATATTTTAGCTGGCAATATTCAGAGGACTTTGCAGACCTTGCTGGAAGAGTGAACTATATATATATATATACACTGAGTGGCCAGATTATTATGACCACCCCATCAGTACTTCGTTGGGCCACCTTTTGGCTTCAATACTGCGGCGATTCTTCTTGGCATTGACTCCAGGTTGAAAGGTGATGCGAGGAATCTGACACCATGCCTAATGAATAGCACTGTCCAGATCTGTGAGATTTAATGGTTGTGGAACCAGCTGCCTGATGGCTCTTTCAACTTTGTCCCACAAATGCTCAGTTGGATTGAGATCTGGTGATTGTGGGGGCCACCGAAGCAAGGTAAATTCTCCCTCATGTTCTTGAAACCACTCCTGCACAATACGAGCACCGTGGCATGGCGCATTGTCTTGTTGGAAGAAGCCATCTTCATTGGGATACGCCATCAACATGATAGGATGAACTTGATCAGCAACAATACTTTGGTATGTTGTGCTATTCAGACGTTGTTCCACACGAATTAAAGGGCCCAAATCATGCCAGGAAAGCATGTCCCAAACCATAACACTGCTCCCACCAGCTTGATGGGTTGTCCTCATGCATGTGGGGTGCATGCTTTCATGCTGTTCCCGCCAAATTCTCACTCTGCCATCTGCATGATGCAACTGGAAACGTGATTCATCGGACCACATGACTTTTTTCCAATGCACGACTGTCCAATCCTTGTGTTCCTGTACGAATTAGAGACGTTTTATCTTGTTAACTGCAGACAGCAAAGGTGTTCGAACAGGCCTTCGGCTTCCATATCCCATACAATGCAGTGTACGGCGAACAGTGCGTTCAGAGATCATTCAAGAGGATCCCTGATTAGGATCTGCAGTAATTTGATGCACTGTTGCCCTTCTGTTGTCTTGTACCAGTCTTGCCACTCTCCGTTCTGCCCTAACATTGACTAGTCGCTGACGGCCACAATTCGCACGTTCAGACCCAGATTTTCGGCTGACAGTCCAGTCTTTAAACACTTTAACAACAGCTGCTCTTGAACATTTAACGAATTCTGCTGTTTTGCTGATACTCGCTCCATGGCTCCGAGCGCCAACAATCATCCCACATTCAAAGGCTGTTAAATCGCGTTGTTTACCCATATCTTCAGAAAAAAATCACTTCTACTGTCGTGGTAAACAACCTGCTTCCCTATTTATAATGGTCTGGCCCTCTAGCAACTTCAGCGCAAAGTTATAGCTAATTTGCCTACAAACGTCAGGTGGTCATAATAATCTGGCCACTCAGTGTATATATACTGTGTGTGTATATATATATAATATAAAAACAAGTTCTAAATGCTGATATAAAATCATCTTACATTCATTAGTTAAACAAACTTGTTTTTCATTTACTTACAAATAGAGTTCATCTACTTCCTGGTCCTCTTGGGCACATATGATGTAGTGTGCCAAAGTGTTGCATCCTGGAAAGGTTACATCATCAGAGCATTGCTGGGAAATCTCATCTGTAATCTCAGGAGATCTTAGGGAAAGTCATTTTCCTCCCCTGAGATGATGTGCATGGACACATGTCCTAGTCACATGTGCCAGAGTTCCAGGAAGTAAAGGGAGAGCTAGTAACCTGCTATTACCCTGTTTCCCCGAAAATGAGACCTACCCCGAAAGTAAGACCTAGTACTATTTTTGGGAATTGCTAGAATATAAGACCTACCCCGAAAATAAGACCTAGTTGTGACTATTCCCAGGGTCGGTGGTGGCATAAGGGGGAACTTGAAGAGCCGCAGGAGAAGCAGGAGAGAATCAGCAGTGCCAACAAAGTCAGCACTAGAGGAAGCGAAGCGGCACCGGAGGGAGCAGAGCTGCATAAGCCGATGCCTCCTCTATAACGCCGGGTCCTGTCACAGGCGGAGTAATACCAAATGCACTCTGCCCATGAGGAATCCACAGTGAAAGTGAGCTCCGCTCATTCTGGCCAGCGATTGGTTAGCAAATTGCTCTT